AACTCCAGAAGATAAGCTAGATAACTGGGATCTTCTAAAAATTAAACACTCATCAAAAGACATCACCAAAAGAATAAAAAGAAAACCTACAGACTGGGGGAAAAAAAATTGGCTATTACAAATCCGACAAAGGTCTAATCTATAATATTTGCAGGAAAATCCAACATCTCTACAACAAAAAGACAAATAATCCAATTAAAAAATGGGCAAAGGAAATGAACAAACACTTCACCAAAGAAGACATTCAAGTGGCTAACAGACACATGAGGAAATGCTCGTGATCACTAGCCATTAGAGAAATGCAAATCACAACCACAACGAGATACCATCTCACCCGGACATTACTGGCATGAATCAAAAAAAATAGAAAATAACAAATTGGAGAGGCTGCAGGGAGATCGGAACTCTTATGCACTGCTGGTGGGAACGCAAAATGGTATAACAATTTTGGAAATTGATATGGCGCTTCCTTAGAAAGCTAGAAATAGAAATACCGTATGATCCAGCAATCCCACTCCTAGGAATATATCCTACAGAAATAAGAGCCGTCACACAAATAGACATATGCGCACCCATTTCATTGCAGCATGGTTCACAATAGCAAAAAGATGGAAACAACCTAGATGACCATCAACAGATGAATGGATAAACAAACTATATTACATACACACAATGGAGTATTATGCAACATAAAGAACAATGATGAATCTGCGAAGCATCTCACAATATGGATGAATCTGGAGGGCATTATGCTAAGTGAAGTAAGTCAATCACAAAAGGAGAAATACTGTATGAGACCACTACTATAAAAACTCATGAAAAGGTTTACACACAAAAAGAAACAATTTTTGACGGTTACGAGGGAGGGGAGGGTTGGGGGTAGAAAAACACTAAATAGACAATAGATAAGTGGTAACTCTGGTGAAGGAGGAAACCCTGGTGGTGTACTGGTTAAGAGCTACAGCTGCTAATCAAAAGGTTGGCAGTTCGAATACACCAGGGCCTCCTTGGAAACTGTATGGGGCAGTTCTACTCTGTCCTATAGGGTCACTATGAGTCGGAATCGACTCGATGGCAATGGGTTTGATTTTTGGTTTGGTGAAGGGTAAGACAGTACACAATACTGGGGAAGCCAGCACAACTTGTTCAGGTAAGGTCATGGAAGCTCTATGGACAAATCCAAACTTCTTGAGGCTCTGTATTACTGGGCTAAGGGCTGTGGGACCATGGTCTTGGGGAACATCTAGCTCAATTGGAATAACATAGATTATAAAGAAAATGTTCTACATTCTACTTTGGTGAGTACTGTCTGCGGTCTTAAAAGCCTGTGAGCAGCCATCTAAGATACTCCACTGGTCTCACCCCTTCAGGAGGAAGAGAAAATGAAGAAAACTAAAGACACAAGGGAAAGATTAGTCCAAAGGCCTAACAGACCACAACTACCACGGCCTCCACCAGACTGAGCCCAGTACAACTACATGGTGCCCGGCTAACACCACTGACTGCTCTGACAGGGATCACAATAGAGGGTCATGGACAAAGCTGGAGAAAAATGTAGAACAAAATTCTAACTCACAAAAAAAAAAGACCAGATTTACTGACCTGACAGAGACTGGAAAAACCCCAAGAATACGGCCCCCAGACACCCTTTTAGCTCAGTATTTAAGTCACTCCCAAGGTTCACCCTTCAGCCAAAGATTAGACAGCCCCATAAAACAAAATGAGATTAATGGGGCACACCAGTCCAGGGACAAGGACTAGAAGGCAGGAGGGGACAGGAAAGCTGGTAACAGGAAACCCAAGGTCGAAAAGGGAGAGTACTGACATGTTATAGCGTTCTTAACCAATGTCATAAAACAATGTATGTACTAACTGTTAAACGAGAAGCTAGTTTGTTCTGTAAACCTTCATCTAAAGTATAATAAAAAATAAGTAGCATCTGGGGTCTTAAAAGCCTGTGAGCAGCCACCTAAGATACTCCACTGGTCTCATCCCTTCGGGAGCAAGGGAGAATGAAGAAAACAAGATACAAGGAAAAGATTAGTCCCAAGGACTAATAGACCAAAGCTACCATGGCCTCCACCAGACTGAGTCCAGTACAGCTAGATGGTGCCCGGCTATCACCACTGACTGCTCTGATCGGGATCACAACAGAGGGTCCTGGACAGAACTGGAGAAGGATGTAGAACAAAATTCTAACTCACAAACAAAATTCTAATTCACAAAGACCAGATTTACTGGCCTGACAGACTGGAGAAACCCCGAGAGTATGGCCCCCGGACACCCTTTTAGCTCAGAGGTGAAGTCACTCCCGAGGTTCACAGTTCATCCGGGGATTGGACAGCCCCATAAAACAAAACGGGACCAATGAGGCACAGCAGTCCAGGGACGAGGACTAGAAGGCAGGAGGGGACAAGAAAGCTGGTGATAGGGAACCCAAGGTTGAGAAGGGGCAGTGTTGATATTTCATGGGGTTGTTAACCATTGTCATAAGGCAATATGTGTACTATTTAATGAGAAACTATTTGTTCTGTAAACCTGCATCTAAGATACAAAAAAAGAAGAATTATCTATGTGAGATCAATTTGACAACAACAACTCAAAAGGTTTGATGGGAAGCCTAGGGGTCAGTGAGTTGAAGATAATGGTGATGGAATAATTTGGAAAAGGATAGTGAGAATAGCAGCACAACTGGAAGAATGTAATCAATGTCACTGAATTGTACATGTAGAAATTTCTGAAATGTATCTTTGGCTATGTGTATTTTCACCCAAAAAAAAAAAAGGTCCTCCAAGGTAGAGAAGGGGGAGTGTTGACATGTCATGGGGTTGTTAACCAATGTCATAAAACAGTATGTATACTGACTGTTTAAACAGAAACTATTTGTTCTGTAAACCTTCACCTAAAGTAAAATAAAAATATATTAAAAAAGCAGATGAAATTAAAAAA